GACTTCCAGGACTTTGAACTCTGCTTGGAGAAAACTGTGGCCAGATTGTGTCCAAGAGAGGGATTTTGAAGGGTTTGAGACTCACCGTGACCCTGACCCTGCTGACCCTGTGGACTCTAGTGTATCTTTGGGGAAGTCCCTGGGGTTGGAGGCGAGTGGTGAGGATGTGGAAGAGTTAGTGGAGGACCACAGGGAAGAGCTTACCACTGAACAGCTGCAAGAGCTTCAACTTAAACAGAAACAGACTGGAGCTGAGGAACTTGCTTCAGAGGAGGAGGAAGAGGGAGTGAAGGAGGTGCCTTCTTCAGAGATTAAAGAGGTGTGTGCAATGTGGACCAGGGTGCAAGCTTTTGTAGAGAAACACCACCCTGACAAAGCTGAAACAAGCCATATCTGCAATATGTTTTGTGACAAAACCCTGTCCAACTTCAGGGAAATCTTAAAGAGATGCCAGAAACAGAGCACTCTGGACAGTTATTTTGTGAGACTGGGGTCCAGTGACTCTCAAGCTGGTTCTAGTGGCATTAAAAGAGAGAAGGGAAGTAACCTAAAGTCTTCATGGAGGGGGATTCCCCTTCCAAACACTAACTCCTCCCTATCTTACAGAAGCCAGCATTAGCCTTCAATAATGGTATGTAATACTTACATAATTGTAAAAAAAATATTTTTTTTTTTGTGAATATTTTTGTTGGGAACAAATTAATTGTATTTTCATTAATTCTTATGGGAAATATTAATTTGGTTATCGGCCATTTCGGTTATCAGGCAACCTTCAGGAATGGATTGCGGCCGATGACTGGGGGTCCACTGTACTTACGTTTGTACCTGTACCTAAATGAACTTATTATGCTGGCATGCTAAATAAATGAAGATTGGGTATAATTGAAAACTGCAGCATTAGTAGAACCCCATAAAGCAAAGTGCTGTAAGGCAGGGCCTGCCATTTGTAGGGCTCCTCAGGTTTGTAACCCCAAACGATAAGCAAAAATTGCTGGTGGGTAGAAAAGAGCTGTTTTTTTCATTATCGCAGGCATCTAAAATGCCTAATAACAAACAAACAAACAAACAAACAAACAAACAAACAAACAAACAAACCAGCCAACCAGCCAGCCAGCCAGCCAGCCTGTCTGTCTGTCTCTGGGCAAGTGAGGAAGCTTCTGTACATTCATCCAAACATTTTGCTGTAATACATTGTTGTTTGTGGTTAATGATTGAGTGCAACTGCAAAAGCCCAAAGAAAGTTCCTTTGGTAAAGAAAGTGAGAAACACGATGGAATACAAGAAAGAAGTTGCTGAAAAGTATGAACGTGAAGGAGGAAAAGAGAGGGGAGAATGTGTCTTCTTCAGTGACTCTACAATATGTATGATACTAAAGCAGCAGGAGTAGATAAAGGCTATAGCGCCAGCCAACGATAACGTGTAGCATTAACAGTGCAGCAAGTAAGTTAAGCGATTAAGCAATAGAAAAAGGACGACATGAAACTGACTCCTCCAATGTTTTTGGAGGTATATAGGGCCACTGACAACATACGCCTCCCTGCCAGCATCTCCTCCAAGGTAAGTGTAAATATTACTTATTTATAAAGTGTAAATATTTCTTATTTATAAATTACGTACATTGTGTGATTAGTGGTGGCCTGTGCTGTCACCTCCACTACCACTAATATGTATGGCTTATGCTCTCAGTGGCCCTTATAAACCCAACACCCCCACCACCACCACCACTCCACATACGTAATAACATATGTTATTCATTCTAGAGTATATATTATGTTTCTGTGTTATTAATATTGTTTATTGTCATATTAAATTAATGGTGAAAGATAAATAAGCCAGAGAGTTGATAATAGCGTCAAATTTAAGCATTTTGTCCTGTCTTTCAACAATAAATTCGCCTCTCTCTGCTCCTCACCATTTTGCATACACCAACAAGGTTCTTCAATAAAGGTGAAAGTGATTTAAATGTTCATTCATCCATTTCATTAGTCATTTTATTTAGTTCTCATTTTTTTGTGTATGTGAAACTATAGTTAATCTTCAAAAAATATACTTTTTGTTAATATTTTTGGATGTCTGAAACAGATTAAATGGATTTACATTAATTCTTATTTAGGTTTTCAGCCATTTCAGTTTTAGGCTGACCTTTTGGAACAGATTATGGCTGATAACCGAGGGTCCACTGTACTTACTTTTTAAAATGTGCCATTCATCCTTCCTTTATGCAACTGTTAGGAAAATGGCAATAACGGCAGAAAAGTGGTAAAAGCACCAAACATAATGAACAGCGACTCTACATATATAACTGCTGTAGCATATGGGTGCCTGGCAAACCTGAGAATAGCGTTTTGACATCAAAGTAAGGAGTCATTCATGACACCTACACCGTGTACTTCAGGTCCATATTGGAGTATGCAGCACCAGTATGGAACGCACACATGGTCAAACACATCAAGAAATTAGAAAAAGTCTAAAGGTTTGCAACAAGACTAGTCCCAGAGCTGAGGGGTTTGCCCTATGAGGAGAGGTTAAGGGAACTCAACCTGACAACACTGGAGGATAGGAGGGATAGAGGGGGGACATAACACACAAAATACTGAGAGGAATTGACAAGGTGGATAGGGACAATGTTTCTTAGTTGTGACACAGCAACAAGGGGTCACAACTAAGTTGAAAACTCAGATGAGTTACAGGGATGTTAGGAAGTATTTCTTCAGCCAGAGTTGTCAGGAAGTGGAACAATCTGGAAGTGATGTAGTGGAGGCAGGATCCATACATAGTTTTAAGAAGAGGATGATAAAGCTCATGGAGCAGGGAGAGAGTGGACCTAGTAGCAACCAGTGAAGAGGTGGGGCCAGGAGCTAAGAATTGATCCCTGCAACTACAATTAGGTTAATACACATACAAGCACATTGGAAAATGGCATGTAATAAAAAATTGTGTAAACCAAACTGAAGAACATATGGAAAAAAAAAATTAATAGTTCTCAAAACTAAGAAACAATGATGATATTAATGTAATTGAAGGGTGATGAGTGTCAAAGATCCTGCAACCACATCTCTGCTATCAAACAGAGGTTTGGTTATCCTACTCATGCTACTGCATGGGAGTTATAAAGGAGAGATTAGAGTGGTTGGGTGTACACAAGAGGAGTTAGAGCAGTTGGGGTGAGCAGGTTTGGTGTGGGGGCGGGGGAACAAGATGTAAGAGTTGGGTGACTCCTGTTGTGGGAGGTGGAGACTGAAAGGTGGAAGGGTGGAGACAGGAGCTGGAGGCTGGTGTTGGGAGGTGAAGGATGCTGGGCAGTGGGTGGTGACTGGGTGGGTCAATATGTGGTTGGTGGTGAGTGACTTAAATGATTAGGTGTTTGGGCAGCATGTTAAGGTGAAAAACTGGGTAAGGTGTGGGCAGGTCAAGGGACTAGGCAAGGTGGGGTCTTCAGGTAGTGGGGAAGTGCCATAGGGTGGGTTGTGTGGGGGTAGGTTGTTGGTTGGAATGTGTGGGTGAAGGTGTGTGGCTGTGGAGAAGTTGTGTGGGTGGAGGTTACTAGTTGCAATGGTGTGTATGAAGGCATGTGGCCATGAGGGAATTTTAGGGGTGAGTGATATGGGTGGGGGTTGTGGATGGTATGTGTTAGGTTGCTGGGTGTGCAGTGAGGACTTGTTGCGAGACCTTTACCCACTCTGCCTGAGGTATCCCAGCAAGCGAGCACATCTCCTGTGTTATTCCAGTGCGTAACAAAATAGGGAATAGCATATGAAGGTTCAAATAAAAATGGGAATTATGGCTATACTTGTTTACTTAATAACATAAAAGGGCTAGAATATGACATATCCTGATGGAAATTGACATAATGTAACAACTGACCAATGAGACTTATTACCAGAGGGAAGGGTAGATGTTATCAGTAACACGGACTAGTACTCACTCTTAATTCACTGACCAGCTGACCCGAGATTCCCAATGCATGGTCCACTACACACGCAGCTGTCCAGAGCTCTCGCTCCCCGGACCTGTCTCCAATAACCCCTTGCTCAGCTGTTCCCTGGCTTATATCCCTCTAAGCACCCCCTTCCCCATAAGGCGTAGACCACATGTTACGACCTGATGCCGAGGTCTGACGCCGTCATGAACAAAAGACCTCAGACTTAAGCCATTTGCCAAGCCAAGGTGTGACCATATAATTGGTTAAATTAGGTCTCCCTACAGAGACCTCACAAACCCATGAAAAATAAGGGAAGCTTGAATGAACAGTTGGTGTGGAGCCAAGGTACAGTATTGGACATGCTCAAATGTAGCACAAGGTACGGTATTGGAAGTGTACGAATGTAGCACAAGGTATGATATTAGACTTGTATGAAAGGAGCCTTGAGCCTCATTGTGTAGCCTCAATGCCAGATGCTCTAACCTTCACCCACCATGCCACAACCTATTTTTCACATTCCTCTACCCATACATTCTTGCCTTCACCCACCTTCACCAGACAAATTCTAGATAAGCAATAACAGGAAATATGTGGATCAGCATGTGGTAAATACATGGGAGCAGTGCTTGGCTAGTCTCTGTAACTACAATTATTTTGTCAAGGAAATCTTCAGTCACTGTAATCCAAGGTACTAATGAAGACCTTAATTCCTCTATCTTGAAAAGTAGTGCTGCTCCTGGGTCTAGTTTCCATAATGAATTCTTGCCTGGCTCCATTGCATTTTTCACTTCCATCTCTTTCAGGTGTGTCATTATCTTGTCTACAGTCACCACTATATGCTCCAATATTCCTTGGGTCCTGAGATCCCTCTTTCATTTCTAGCAGGTGTACTAGTTCAAATACCACCTGGTCACAATAGTAATCAGTACTTCTGGTAATCACATCTCTTCCTACTAGAGGATTTATGTTATTGTAGATCTTTAGACTGCTACATGCTATTATTGTATTTTCATGTTATTTAAAGGATGACTTTGTTGAGCATAATCAATTTTGTAGTGATTAATACTTTTCTTTACAGGAGGTGCTCGTTTATCACGCAGCAGCAGTCTCCGCTATGACACTCCCCGAACTCACGCACGCTCCCCACTAGACCAGTATGATATACCACGTTCCCAGTATGATTCCCCAAAGGTACGACCATTGTATGACTCTCCGAGGTCTCAGCAACACTATGATTCACCTCGAGCGCACACAGACACTCAGCGCTTAGGTAGTGCACCACGAAGTCTTATTAAAGGTGTCCGGGGTGGTGCTCCACCAACTGTGCCAGCATTTAGTGATAACCACCAAGAATATGATGTACCGAGACCAACAAATGCAAATCAGGATGCTCAGCTTGATATGCCACCAAGTGACCGTTCCAGTGGTGTATCTGTCATGTCATGCGAGTCCTCACAACTGTCAACCTCCTCTTCTGCCTCATCATTAGCTGCCTCTGAGTCTCTTTCTCTGTCCTCACTTGGTGGGTCTTCTAACCGCTCTAGCTTAGAGTCTCACGATGTATACGACATCCCACCAGAACCGCGAAAAGTAACAGGGTCTCAGCGTCCTAAACTTCCTCCACGAGAGTCGAGGGATGCAAGAGATGCTTATGATGTTCCTCGCTCTGCATTACTAGTAGGATCTGATACATATGACACACCACCGTCTAGAACACCACGCGCACTTCTGATGCGTGGTGGTGAAGGTGTATATGATGTGCCACCACAAGTTAGCAGAGATGTTCGTCAACCAGATTCTGTAGATGCTACAACAAACCGTCTTTCATCTGGTTCTGACTCATCTGGCGGTGAAGTGGATTTAAGCTTAGGAAAAGAACTTCCTCTGGAACATGATTCTGCTTTAGATATGTTGGCAAAACTACAGCAGGAAGTATATGGGGCCATAGAAAAACTGTCAACAGTACATCAGAGTGGATCATGGAGAACAAGAGAGACAGTCGAGGAGAGAGAAGGAGATATGAAGGTAATCGTCTTCCGACTTCGTCAGTCAGTGCATGACATTTTGAAATTTGGTCAAGGTTCAGCTGTTAATGCTGCTCAAAATGGGGAACGAAGTGTAGCTAGGAAGTTGCATAGACTTTTAGAACCAGTGACAAGATCAGCTGCCACTGTGGATGAAGCATGGTCCAGATTGCAGGGAGGTGGATGGACCCAGGCTTTGGCAAGTGGTACTAATCCAGAGAACCTCACCCAGTTAGCAATAATTGCTCATACTTTGGTAGAGGATGTGCGGCGTTTAGCTTTAAATATTCAAGCAAAGGTTTCTTCCATTTTCAAAAAATCACCAAGTTTCGATCTGACAGGGTTTTCACGCCAGCAAGGACTAGATGATGATGAAAAGACTCCAGTCCAGGAACGTCCTTTACCTGATCTTCCAGAGAAAAAGCAACTTGAGAATATGTATGAAAATGATGCAAGAAATTGGCTTGAGGACTATGATTATGTAAACTTGGAGACTCGGGAAAGTGTGGAACGTGAACATGAAGATATTAAGAAAGAGTTGCCAGCACAACTAAGGAAGTCATTTGACAACTTAGTGAAACAGTCACAGCTAATAGTAGACAGCGATCACGAGAAAGCTTTACGCAAAGTTGATTCATCTTGTACAGTCACTGACAAAAAAGGCAGTAGCATTTTAGATCCAAATGACCGACAAGTTGTAGCATTCTATGGAAATCAGGCTGAGGTGCATCTTCAGCATCTGAATACTGCTATCGATGCATTCCTTCTCACCATAGAGAACAACCAGCCACCAAAGGTTTTTATTGCACACTCCAAGTTTGTTATTTTAAATGCACATAAATTAGTTTATATTGGTGACACTGTCCATCGCAACATTGTAAATGCTGAAGTAAGAACACGTGTATTAAACTGTTCCAATGCTCTATGCGATGCTATGAAGAACACTGTATCAGCAGCAAAGACTGCAGCATTGCAGTTCCCATCAGTGGTAGCAGTTCAAGCAATGGTGGATGCTTTTGTTGCCATCTCTCACTTGTCTAACAACCTGAAACAAGCAGTCTCTGCTGCCCCTCTGTGATGATCATGCCATATACCTCCTTGACTAGCTCACTCTAAAAGTTGACATTTTAAATGATTTATCAAGTTCATGACCATCACAAAGATATTTCATAGACTATAGCAAGCAACTGAGAGATCCCAGCCCTCTCCCTGGTGCTATGTACAGGATTACAGGAGAGGTGGGTCAACTAATAAGGAGCCATTTATTGTGTTAAGTATCAAAACTACTTGTAAAATTTTAAAAAGTACACATTAAATACAGTATAATTATTTCTATCATTTTACATTAATAAATTAAATAAATTTGTTTAGATTATTTGAATTATTAGGAATGAGTGCTGTAAATCTAAATTACTGATGGTATATGGTACTGTAGTAATTAATATTTCATTTATTGTGAATTGGCAGCATTTGAGGTTTTGAATAGGAGCAATCATTCCCTTAAACACAAGTCATATTTGTATATATCTGGCATGCAGTTTAGGTATTTATTTTTTATCCAAATCACTGGTGGATATTTGTCCACTTGCTAAGTTTGATAATGTGCAAAACATTATTGGGTTGTCATTGGTTGGTAAGACTGCAATTGGAAGTCATCCTGATTTCTTAATGTTATATATTTATTTGCTGAGGCTTTAGCTTTAATGTATTTGGAGAGAATTTTTCCAAGCATAACTTTGTATATTTTCTTCCTTGAGGGAAAGATAACTCATGTTTTTGTATTCATTATTGATTATTTGCAAAATTATTGATCTGTTCTCTGAAAGTTTTTCATATAACAGAGAATATATTAAAGATTTCAATGTCTTGCAGCATAATATGTTAAGTGACATCTTCCAAAGTACCTAAGACAGACTTGATATTGTAAATGTTCGAAGCAGAAACAATGTAGGCATCAGTAATCATTTTGTAATGGAAATGTAGGCTTCACTGATTAATAAATGTTGTAATTTTTGTTAAATTTCTAATACTGCATATGTAGACAAATACCTCAACTACACTAATTACAAAACCATGATGCATAAATATTTTATGCCATTGATCTTTTGCCATGGTTAATTAATAGTGAAGGCGAGACTTTGGAGCTCCTGAATGGCTATTCTTAATTACAGATTTTAGGCCTTTTTGCTCATAGTCAGCTTACTAGTATTTATGATACGATGAGAGAAACTAATGCCTATATTGAGTACTTCACTCTTCCACTTTCTTTCATGATACAGGTAATGACTTCCACTGGTTGCAGTCAAGATAGTGGAATTCTAAATTCCCAGGCTGTGATTTTAATGTTTAAGTAAATATAATTTTAATTACCAGTTCTTTGTAAATAGATTATGCAAGTGTATATATTGTACAAGAGTAAACATATTATTAAAAACACACAATGCATGTTAGAAATGAGTGAAATATGTTTTGCATGCTACACAGTATGCCAGCAGAGTGTAGGTAGGAATGTATTGCAGCGAGAACCCTACATATCCTCCAGGCATGATGCCTTCTTAGGTGCCCAGGCTAGTTTTAGCCATGTATTACCACTAAAATCAAAAAGAAGTGCTGTAACAGAAGTGCTATGCTTGACGTGGACCTGTTGCTTGTAGCCAGAGCTTAGCCTCTGTTCACCCACAGCATAAATGTTCCCTTGGCAGAGTTTTGCCTTCTTAACATAATTAATGTTAAGAAACTCCAGCTATGTAGTTGATATAATGTTTTAAGGAATGGGGTCAATGATTCCTAATATTAAATGGGATCTGTGTTCATACTGCACTCAGCATTGATTACTGTTGTCATTCCACTGCCGCTTGTAACTGCCATCAGTCATAATGACATTCTCTTGTGACTGCACATATATAACCATGATATGTTTTTATGTTCTCAGAGCAGAATATGAGGATAGCAGAATTCACAGTGGCTGAATACCTCGTAACTGTGTGAACTGATAAGTGACCAGTGCTCTTGGACATAACCTGTGAAACCTACTCTTTGCAGGCACATATGGACACACACACATGCGCATGCACACACATGCACACACGCATATACACACACACACACATATAGGTATAATATATAGTATAGTATACCATATATACAGGTATATATATATTTATATCAAGACCATGTATTTACTTCCATTATGCAAATATTTCAGCTTTGTGAATTTTGTGCCCCATAAAAAATATTAGTTACTGTAAAAGAGAGAGTATAAGATTATTTAAAGGAATTTTAAAAAAGGGATGTCTTGTAATTTTGATACAATTTTTTGAGAACCCTTTTGAATAGCTTTGAAACTGATCTTATGTTTTTATCTGAATGCTGAAATTTCAGTTGTATATTAAGAAAGAAATTTAATTAGAAATTGAACCTGTCCATTGTGTCCTTGTGCATATTGTGTGGTAATGTGATTACCTCTTGTGTTTTTGTACCTATATTTGATAATATGTAATGTACTTTTAACAGGCCAACAACATAACCAGGTTAATAAAATAACTGTATGTAAAAAGTCTTTGCAATACCTTGAAAACAATTTACAAATAATTAATAAGGACATCCTATGAATTATTTACTAAGAAATGCAATTTAGTCCCTTGCATTTATTAGGCTGATTTCCACCACTCAGGAATAACAACAGTGTAATAATATTAATCACAAAAAAGAGTAAAATCTGGTAGGTTATTAATTGTATACATCATGGTGGTCCCTCGAGTTATGATATTAATCTGTTCCAGAAGATGTATCGTACCTCAAACCCCAAAATACAAGGTTTTATGGTAATTCATTTTAAGAAGCCAGAACACACCAAACCTACCTTGGACACTTTTTGTTTATATATTCTGGTTTTTTCTGAGGAGTAAAACAGTCATAAGCTTCAGCTTGAAATCTCCAGAGCCATTGGTACCCAAGAGCAGGCTTATGCCCAGGATAAGGCATGGTAGGCAGGACAGGGCAGAGGTAGGGCAGGCCAGGGAAGGATAGGCAGGCTAGAGTTGGCGAGGCACAGCAGATAGGACAGGTACAAGAAAGAGCAGGCAGGCCAGACTGGGGCATGTAGAGTAAGGTAGAGCAGGCAGGGCAGACTGGGGCATGTAGAGAAAGGAAAAGCAAGCTAGGGAGACTGGGGCAAGTAGAGCAAGGTAGAGCAGACTGGGGCATGTAGAGCAAGGTAGAGCAGACAGGCATGTAGAGCAAGGTAGAGCAGGCAGGCCAGACTGGGGTATGTAGAGCACAGAAAATCAGACAGGTCAGAGACAGGTTGAACAGGCAAACAAGTCAGTAGATAGACAGGGAGGAAAGTAGGGCAAGGAAAGGCAAAGCAGGCCGGGCAGATGGAAGAGAGCAGCATAAGGTAGGCAGGGCAGACGGAGATTGGTAGAGAATTTACACTCTTGTTGCCGCAGTCTTCTGACGCCTGCATCTGGTACACATACTGTATCCCTCCCACTTCTGCCTGCCTTCATCCTTTCCACCCTCCCCCACCTCCAACACACCCTCTACCATCACTCCATTTCAGAGAGGCAGGCAGACCACAGTAGACAGGGCATGCCAGGGCAGGTAGGCCAAGGAAGAGCAGGTATGCACTGCAGGCAGGGCAAGCCAGGGCATGTAGAACAAAGAGAGGGTAGGACAGGGTTGGGCAGGCAGGGTAGGAAGGAAAGGACAGGCATACAGAGATGGGTAAAGAACTGTAGACCTAATATTTACACACACTGTTGTGGTCCGCTGCGCAAGTCTCCCTCCCTTCCTCTTGCCTGCATTCCTCCCTTTCTAATATACATTTAGGTATGTGTACTGGTCAGAGAGCCTGTCATAAGTCCGAGTCGTCGGTCAACGAGTACGTCGCTACATGAGGAGAGGAACCCCTGTTTTCGTCTTTAATCCATTCCAGAAAGTTGACCGATAACTGATTTGTACAAAAACTGAGGTAATATTTCCCATAAGAAATAATGTAAATCCAATTAATCCATTCCAGACACCCAAAAAATATTAACAAAAAATACATTTTATACAGAAAACAATGACAAATATAAATGACTAATGAAATGGATAAATGAACATTTAACATCACTTCTTTTACCTTTATTGAAGACTCTTGTTGGCGTATGGAAGATGGCGAGGAGGGGAGAGAGAGGAGAGGGTATTGTTTGGAAGGGGAATCCCCCTCCATAAGAACTTAAGGTATCAAAGCCCTATCTGGGGTTATTTCCCTTCTTTGTCTCTTACTGGCACTAGGCCCAGCTTGAGTCATTGGACCCCTGTCGCACAAAAAATCTGTCCAGAGAGGCCTGTTTCTGGCGTCTCTAAGATTTGCCTAAAATGGGACATGGCACTGTCACTGAACATGTTGCTGACATGGCTTGCAACAGCTTTGGTAGGGTGATATTTCTCCACAAAACTTTGCACCTCACTCCACTTTGCACAAATGTCTTTAATTGCTGAAGAAGGCACATTCTCCCCTCTCTCTTCCTCCTCCTCTGAAGTAATTTCTTCAGCTAAGGTCTGTTGCTGTTCCAGATGAAGGTCTTGCAGCTCTTCAGTGGTTAGCTCTTCCCTGTGGTCATCCACCAACTCGTTCACATCCTGGCCACTCACCTCCAACTCCATGGACTTCCCCAGACACACAGTAGATTTCACAACAGGTGTAGGGTTGTCAGTGTCAGCCTCAAACCCTTCAAAATCCTTCTGGAGGACACATTCTGGCCACAATTTTCTCCAAGAAGAGTTAATCATCCTGGAAGTCACACCCTGCCAAACCTTATCTATAAGACTTATGCAACTGAGGATATTGAAGTGATTCCTCCAGAACACTTAGGGTCAATTCAGTGTCTGAGGTCACTTCAAAGCACCTTCGAAACATTGCTTTGGTGTACAGTTTTTTTGAAGTTTGAAATAACCTGCTGGTCCATGGGCTGGATGAGAGGAGTGGTATCAGGGGGCAAGAACTAAACTTCCTCAACAACTGGTCTTCAAAGTCTGGAGGATGAGCAAGAGCACTGTCCATTACCAGGAGGCACTTGGTAATGGACAATGGCACTCAGAACTTTCTTTGGCACCATGGTGGCTTATTTAGCAGTTGAAAGCACAAAAAAAAAAAATGGATTATTACGAAATGTTTCGGATGAATGTGAGGAGTAATGCTCACTGAACGAGTAACAAAGGCAGACCGAGTCATGAACGTATGAGCAGACGCAACCCATGGGCAGGTGGACGCGTCTGGCAAGTACGATTTCTGAATGGATGTGTGAAAACGGGGAAAATTTCGCCAAAAAGTGGTTGAAAACTGAATTGTACGATAACCAGACCGGACGAAAACTGGGGTTCGACTTTATAGACATTTTCATTAATCCATCAAAATTATATAAGAAACATGTTGCATAGCATATGAACATGATACATACACCACAGTACAATAAATTTCACAAATACGAAGTGTGGTAGCAGGGCAGAGGAAAATAATTCCATTTTTTCTGGTTCAACACCAGAGAAAATATGTACCAATCCGCCTTTGACCCAGTGACTTCCCTTAACACATTTGGCTTTGTTCACAGTTCTCAGCATTACTACTTCTGTTTATGATGGCATCTTAAGGTAGTTGTTAGAAATGATTAAAATTGGTGAACAAGGTACGTGTATTTCGATATGGTAGTAGCAATATTGCTCTGGGCCACTTTAACCCTTTGACTGTCACAAGCCCCTTTCTAAAACTGTCATTCTATGTAGCAAAATTTTTGGAGAGAGAGAGAAAGACAAAAAAAAGTAATTTTTTCTTATAAAATGATAAGAGAATCTTTTCCCGATGGTAATGACACCAAACGTACGAAATTTGGTCAAAAATTCATGGAATTACGCTCCCACAAAGTTAGCGGTCTCGGTGACACACATGCATCGGCGATTTCGCTGGCTTTGGGTCCTGTTTTTGGCCAATTCCGTTGATCCAGTTGACCAAACTCATAGCTATTTCTTTAGAACTCCATTCTTTCTATCAGTTGAGTACAAGAAACTGCCCATTCACCAATTTGAACTACCCAATAAAGTGGTCAGAAATTGGCAATTTGGCCAATTTCACGCAAATTAAAAAAGATGCCAATTTCAAAATAGGGTCCAGAATAAACAATGTAGACATTTTTGGCACTAAAATAACATATCCTCTGTTCATTAGTTACGTCTCTAGGTCCCTCTTATATTACTATTGCTTTCTATTTTGATTTTTTATTCATACAAAAAATACAAAATTTACCATTATGCAGACTACTGCATTACTATTGTAAAAATGGTATAAATAATATCAGTGCACTAGTGAAAGAATATTAGACTCCCCAGTTGACGTGTATTGGACGTGTGGTGTGATTTGCTTACTCCTGAACATTGGTAAAAATTGAACATTACCCGTACTTTGAGCTCAATTTCAAGGTCGTTTTCATCGTGAAACTAATCAAAATCATCTCTATTTCTGTAATATGTTTTCCATTTTATCAGGCGAGACCATGAAAACAAGAATACAACGATAAATACTATATGAAAATGCACCTCAAAATCGGCGTTTTAATCCAAAAAAATGGTCAGTTTTTTTTTTCTCATTATGCACTGCGTGCTGCAGGATTTTTTTTATGTGGTGCGCACTGACCACACAGACCCATTCTGTCACATGTGGGCCTACCAGCTTTCTCCTGCTTGATTTGAAGCCGCTAGAATTTATGCGTATTAATATATCCGAAACAGTCAAAGGGTTAAATATCATATAATACATTCCAGAGCCAGGGAAGCTTTGTGGCTCCAGAACCACTCACCTCTCACCCTACATTAAAACTACACACATTTTAAGGTAAGTAACGAATAAGTAATCGTTCTGGGCTGCTTTAAATATCATACAAGTACAAATAGGAGGGGGAGCCAGGGCTACCTACACCTACCAGCTACCTACACCTGACTTCCTATAAATAAATACATACTACTCACCTCTCACTCTACATTAAGACTACAAATATTTTAAAGTAATGAATGTACTGTGTATGTATTTTACTTTTTGTTTTTTAATGCCTAGTTCTACTGTTAGCTTAATGTATGCTAGTGTAAACTTGTTACCTGGCATTTGTATGCATTTATAGGTAGAAAATATGGTGTTCTGCTTTCCAGCAATGTCCGGTTTCCGGCAGAAGCCTGGAATCTAACCTGCCATATAAGTGGGGCCCTACCGTATTGGGAAGATGGAGGGAATATTTTGAGGAATTGTTAAATGTTGATGAAGAGAGGGGAAGCTGTGATTTTTGTGCATTGCCAGCAAGGTGTAACATCTTGTAGGAGTGAGGAAGAGGCAGATGTGAGTGTGGGGGAGGTGCTTGAGGCTGTGGGTAGAATGGAAGGGAGTAAGCGGATAGGACTGATGGGATCAAGACAGAAATGTTGGAATGGTTGATACTTTTATTTAATAAATGCATGAAAGAGGGGAAGGTACCTATGGATTGGCAAATAGCATGACATAGTTCCTTTGTACAAAGGCAAAGGGGA